TATTTGAAACTGTCTCATATAATAATAACAATAATTTTTATTTTGTATGATATAATTCGGAAATTCAATTATAAAAATTTTTTTATTTATTTAATTAAAAAGAAATTCAAGGAAAACATTTTTATTTTATAAAATTAATTACTTCCGGAAAAATTTTTTTATTCCAAATGATCCTTTTCATAATCTTTTTAAAATTAATAACTAGTGTATTTTATATATATATAAATGTGAAAACAAAAAAAAAATAAATATAAACTTTAAAAAAAAAATAAAAATAAATAATTTTAAGAAAAACATGATTGGGTTCCCAAAAGGGAACAATAAGTTAAATTTAAAAAAATTGATTTTGTACGTTTCTATCTATTCACATGATAGGAATTCTCTAGGTACAAGTGGTTTGCGATTTAATTTTGTGAGCTAAATTTTTTTGAAAAAAAGAATCCAACTATTCCATTGGTTGACTTTGCTAGTGGTGAGAATATAAAATTTCTGAGGCCTTTGTATCTGTTTATTTTTTTTTAGTCTCTGCTTGAGTAAGCAGGTTGCTATTAATATTAGTGGGGAAGGATAAGCCACATCAAGGATTTGTCCATGGCCCAGGGGTTAAGGGGTCAGATTCCGGATCTTAGGCCGTCATCAATTGAGTGGTAACAGGGTTCTAGATATATTAGGTATGCAATACTTTTTTTTTAAATTTTATGCGATGATATGGGTGAATTTACGCGTCCAAGTCTATATCCTATAGTAACCCTTAGTTGTTCTTTAGTTAAGAAATTCTCGAGATTATTGCTCGGTAGGGCTTTCAGCCATGAATTGAATCATGTATAATTTTATAAAAGCGTCGATTTGTTATATAAATAAAACCTTCATTTATTAATTTCTTTCTTTCTTTCTTTCTTTCTTTCTTTCTTTCTTTCTTTCTTTCTTTCTTTCTTTCTTTCTTTCCTTTCTTTCTTTCTTTCTTAACATATATATTTTAATCATGTTCATAGTATCACTTCACTCAATACTCAATTATAATAAATGGATGGACAATTGTTTAAAGATCTGAAAATTAAAATGTGTAATTATAAAATATAGATCTAATGAAAATCCATATATTACAACTATAAACTCTACAGAATGAATATTCCTTTGTGAATAGCTAATGCTAAGCCTCCGTCTCTAGAAAAAGACCTGGAGTGATTTATTGGTAAGTGTTTGAGGATTTGGTCTAAACCTTAGAAAATCTTAAATAGCGCAAAAGTGATCCATTGAATTTACAAAAAAAAATTTATTTTAAAACATCATAGTAAAAGGAGATTTGTAGTTAGAAAGCCCCCTAAAATATTAAACTTCGTTTCTATTAAAATTTAAGTTAGAACCTTATAATACTAACAATTCATACAAAAGAAATACGATTTTAAAAAGAATAAACCTTTAGAGGGTTGGGTTTCAAATATTTCGGTTTAATACAATTTTTTTTCTTCTTCCCAATAAATAAATATTTATTTCTGCTTTTATTCGATCTTTGGTTTCAACATATGGATGTTAAAAAAATTTAGTTCTTTATAAAGATTGCGATAATTTAATATCTCCACTAGGGAATTGTTTATGGGAAAAAAAGGATCTTAAAAAAATATTTAACATGATTTATATGGGAAGATTGCGAGGAATTGGGGGGGGGGGGGGGATTTCATTTTATAAGTAACCCTGAAATAAAATATGGTTTCAATTTAATCAACAAAAAGGCTGGGTTGTGAATATGGAAGGTAAAGAAGGAACATTTGAGATAGGGAAAGATAATAAAACATTAAGGAAAATGTAAAATTGACAGGAAATGGATAAAAAGTAAAATTGACAGGAAATGGAATGATGTAAAATTGATAGGAAATTGAAAAATGGAAAAATTATGACAGGAAATGAAGATTTGTCTTTCTTGTTTTTATTTTTATTTTTTTAGTTGGAGAATATTATCACACATGTTTTAAATATCTTCCTGAATATCCCGGTATTTTTTTTTGAAGAAGAAATAAATTAGCAACATTTTTAAATCAACTTCGTTACATCTTCATCGTTGTCGATCATGATAACCGGAAATACAGATGAGGAAGAGTGAGTCTAAAACCTCGAATATATTTATCTAATTTTGATTCGAGGAGGGGAAAAAAATGGCTTACAAAATGCCAAATAATATGTATCTTTTCAGTTGGGGATACCGAGAACTCGTTCTGTATTTGTCTCTTTTTATTCTAATATTCGCAATTTTATTCGCAATTTTATTTGATATCGATATATTTATTCGTTTAAATTTAAATTTCGACATTTTGACAAAATCCTTAATACATCAGCATTCGTATTCGCTTATAGAAATTTACGAATCTAAGTTCGGGCCGGGCCGGGTTTGCGCTGGGTTGCGATTGAGTAAAAAGGCGCGTCTTATATTGAATTATAAAGCGCATTCGGAGCGGAAATGTAAACACAAATTAGGATTTTTGATCAACAATCTTGGGGAGGGGAGAAGGGGTGGGGGGGGAGTGATTTTATGGTTTCTAAAATTTTGTAGTTAGAACCAAACTTTGGGCTTGATAACTTAAAACAGCTGAGTCCAATTATTTTGTTTACTTGGATATTTTTTTTAAACAAAAAAAATTATTTATTATGAGCCCGGTAGAGAATGGGCAATCATATGTTAAGTTATAGCGGTGTTAAACGGCTCGGTTTGAACTGATATATTTTTTAAAAACGGTTCAGCTCATTTTAGCCGGAAAAATATTGGCTGAGCCCTGAGATTTTGCTAACAGATGTTTCAAACCCGTTTGTGCCACCTCCTTGAAAATCGGCTTTAATCGGGCCGGGCCGTTTAACCAACACTTAGTGTATGTTACGCTTACCGACTTAAAGACTTTTGTCATTAAAACGACGCATACAAATACAACTGAATTTTTAGGGATGATTATTTGTTGTATGTACGACAAAACGGATGAGAAAATACATGTAGAAATTGACACCGTAACTCTACCGAAATCCTGACAACAGACTAGTATATGTTACGCTTACCGACTTGAAAACTTTTGTCATTAAAACGACACATACAAATACAACTGAAATTTTTAGGGATGATTATTTGTTGTATGTATGACAAAACAGATGAGAAAATACATGTAGAAATTGACACCGCAACTCTGCCGAGATCCTGACAACAGAAAATGATAGAAATATGAGCGGACTAACCCCCTATTCCCCAGAATATAGAAAATAGATATCAAATTATGCACGTCAAGTTTCCAAGAAGAAACTTCCAAATCGAGAACTAACTTGTATTTTTATAAAATGCCTAAAAAATTTACCAATGTGTTTTTTTCCCGGCAATTCAACTTAAAAAAAAAATTTTGAGCGCCTTTTTTTTAAATTTTAAAAAAATCTTAAAAATCTGATTTTAACCGGAAATGCATTTTCCATCCTGTCTGGAATTCCTTACCCTAAAAATTTCAGCCAATTTTGTCACGAACTTTTGAACTCGATAAGATTTATATTTAGATTTTCCATAAATTTTTTTTATATAAATTGACTCAAAGGTTAACAGCTGACTCAAAGGTTAACAGCTGACTCAAAGGTTAACAGCTGACTCAAAGGTTAACAGCTGACTCAAAGGTTAACAGCAAAAATTTGTCCATAATTTATAAGAATAAGGTATTCCAAACATGATGGACCGTATTTCCGGCAAAATAAGATTTTTAAATTTTTTTTTAAAAAAAAAACGCTTCCCAAAAAATGATTTGAAGTTGGAAAAAATAACACATAAACCAGGCCCGGATATACGGGCCGGGCCGGGCTTGAAATTTTTTTATAAATACCCGAGCCGGGCCTGAGAATAATTTATGGAAAAAAAATACAGGTCGGGCCTTGCAAATGGTACCTCTGCAGATCTCTGAATATGCACATTGAGAATTTTGTTAGTTAGCTAAATCTCAAATAAAGACTTTATCTTTTAACCTTCCTTTCTTTCCTTCCTTCCTTCCTTCCTTCCTTCCTTCCTTCCTTCTTCCTTCCTTCCTTCCTTCCTTCCTTCCTTCCTTCCTTCCTTCCTTCCTTCCTTCCTTCTCTTTCTTAAGTAAAAATTTAACTGATTTATAAATATACTATGAGCAAATGAATTCAGGACCCTAACCAAAATTATTTACTTAGAGGAGCACGGAGAGAATTAATGGGGGGAGGGATTTTAATATGTAGTCCCAAATGTTAGTGTTAAAATTACTTAGTAAATAGTTTATCATATTTTAGAATCTTAAACTGAGGAATATTCAGCATAATATTCTAATATTACATCATTAGAGTATAGTGTACTATACATTGCTACAGATGATAAATAAATTGTTGTTAATGACCTCATTTATATTTATAATTGTTCGTATTTTTAAATTATTCATGTTTAGGAATGAGGAAGAAGTTTATCTAGGGACCTTGCCCAAAAGTGCCCCCCCCCAACCTCTATCCGGTTAGAGCTTTAAATCTAATCTGTATTTTTTTTACTAAAAATGATTAAGATATAGTTCGTAAAGTTTAGAAATACTAAAAAATTTTCACGAAAACTATCGAATATATAATTTTTGAATAATAATAATAGTCCAAGCAAAGACAATATAATAATACCTAGAATGACGATGCATTCATTAAAAAGTGTACACCAATGAAAAACAGCTGGTGACGCCATATTGGTTACCCATATGATTATTAAAAAATTTTAAACGAGAGGCCAAATTATTCCTATGTTCTGAAGCAAGTTATCAACACATGTGAATAATTTACTATATGGGTTACTAAAATGGCAGATGCAGCTGATTAGCATTCAACGACGCTGGTATTATTCCGTTGAATCCGAGCTAACTTAAAATTTTACTTTGAAAATAGCGAGATAAAAAGATGTTATTACAAAACTGTGCTCGAACCTGAAATTAGATATCACACATGAATGTGGTATTATGATGAAGGTTCGCCATAAACACTTAGAAGCAGAAAACTACAGAATAGATTTTATTTAATAACTTATTTATAATAAATCATTTAAATAATATATTTAAATTAATAATTATTATATTATAATTTAAAAAATGATTTATAAATATTTATGACATCTTTTTCTTCTTTTTTTTATAAGTTTTGCACAATCCAATCATAGAATAGGGATACGTTAGTGTATAAGCCGGGTCTTTTATCCCTGGCACAGCCTTCGCCCCACGATACGATCCCGAATAGCTTAGAGTAACCGTTGACATCGCATATCAGAGGTCCTCCTGAATCTCCCTATCATTATTCAAAAATTTTATTATATGATTTTGTTGCCTTTATTTCTTTATTTCTTTCTTTTCTTTCTTTCTTTTCTTTCTTTTTTCTTTCTTTTCTTTCTTTCTTTCTTTTCCTTCTTTTCTTTCTTTTCTTTCTTTCTTTCTTTCTTTCTTTCTTTCTTTCTTTCTTTCTTTCTTTCTTTCTTTCTTTCTTTCTTTCTTTCTTTCTTTCTTTCTTTCTTTCTTTCTTTCTTTCTTTCTTTCTTTCTTTCTTTCTTTCTTTCTTTCTTTCTTTCTTTCTTTCTTTCTTTCTTTCTTTCTTTCTTTCTTTCTTTCTTTCTTTCTTTCTTTCTTTCTTTCTTTCTTTCTTTCTTTCTTTCTTTCTTTCTTTCTTTCTTTCTTTCTTTCTTTCTTTCTTTCTTTCTTTCTTTCTTTCTTTCTTTCTTTCTTTCTTTCTTTCTTTCTTTCTTTCTTTCTTTCTTTCTTTCTTTCTTTCTTTTCTTTCTTTCTTTCTTTCTTTCTTTCTTTCTTTTCTTTCTTTCTTTTCTTTCTTTTCTTTCTTTTCTTTCTTTTCTTTCTTTTCTTTCTTAATTAAATATAGAAAACCGCGCTAATATCTTTCAATATCTAAATCTGAATAGACAGCATATAGCAAACAATATTCATTTAGAAAATGTAACCTGATATCAATTCACGTTACTCATTAATATTTTAACTAAAAATAGATGGAGGAAATTTATAAATAAGGGATTTGGATGTAGAACAAAAAAACATGGCGGTCATCCATAAAAAGAAAAAAAAAATTTTTTTAAGCATTCGTGTTGAAAAGACAAATTATTCAGATTTGTTTACATTCCTCCCCCCCCCCAATTCCCTAAAAATAATCCATCTTTTTTAGAGTAAATGGGGATCATCCGATTCTCACGTGTTTTTAGAGTCATCAGGAATTGCCAATTCAATGCTTATAGACTATTAACGTAATCGGTCAATTGGCATATAACCGTATTGCCAAATTTATACGAAATTAAAAATACTCTCAAGTGTACGATCGGGTCTAAATGAATCCACTTCCGGTTAAGATCCCGTTTCCGAAGTTTCAAAAAAAAATGGCATTTCGAACAAATAAAATATTCGTGTAGAAGAACCAAGTACCCCGTGTACCTTTCAAACAATTTTTGAAAGATTTTACCTGGAAGCGTACAAACAACTCGCGGTAACTACGGCGCGTGGAGACCCATGCCAATTTTTCTAAAGAAATTTGGGAGCCTCAGTAGGTCTCAAATTATTGGTTTGGGGTCCCCAGAACTAATTTTTATATTTGCGAGTGAGGAGTGCGAAGGGGAAATCTTCGAGTTACGCCTCTGGATAATAAATATACGCATTGGCATATAGTAACGTACTTTACAGGCATCCTTTCCTCCTTGTTCGTAGCCGGCGCAGGTCATGGTTCTTGTCAATCGGCCATTGTAGTAGTCTGTCGAATTACAAAGTTTGGGTGACATCATCGGAATGCACACTTCGTTCAAAAAGATTTCTTGGGACGTGTCTGTTGTCACATAAAAAACCATATTTTAACGCAACTTAAATTTTTAAAACAATAAACAAATCAAACCATTTTTTCTTTTGATATCTAATTAATATTCATATTTATATTTCTTCTAAAAATAATATTCTTTGGGATTCTAAGATATAATCTTTAAATATTATTTATAATAGTTACTATAAAAATTATATTTAAATATATATTCCATTTAGAAATATTGGTAGGCAGAGACTTGCAGGCCCAGACCTAAACCCGGCCCGGTTTCTTAAAATATATTCGGGCCGGGCCGGGCCGGAATTAAAAATAAATCTAATATATTTTTTAAATAATATCCGGACAGATCTCCGAGTAAAAGTAAAACTAATATTAACCTTTCGTGTCTCCGAACCCAGCTATGCAACAATCTTCTGTAGAAGGAGGAACGATTTCTCCTGATCTCGGCACGCAGGCCGGCTGAACGTATTCCCCGAATACCAAAGGTTTGTCAATTATCAGGAGCGATATATCGTTATCGTACTTGCTTTCTCTATCGAAATGGGGATGCTTTACCAGTGTTTTAATGGATCTCACTTGTTCGAGGGGCAGATTTCGGCTATTTTTTACGTGAGTTCCTGCTACGATAGTAAAATTTTTCACGTCGACGAAACTGAAAATAATAATTTTTTTTTGAATCTTACTTAGGGAACATTAAGGAAGGAAGCCGGGGCACGCTGTTCAGGGGACACTTAAGTCATTCTCGATTCATTCATAAATTAACAAAGTCTAAAGTCTAAAACATTCAATCCCACCATTGATAATTACATTATAATACTTTATCTATATAAAATATTTTTCTTAGTGTCATCCCAATTGTAATTTTATTTAATTATATGATATATGATGTCAATCTAGTTACCCTGGAAAACAATGGGTAGCCGATAAGATATGAATCGGACTTATGATTGTTCCTGCGCATGCGTGAAGCCCAGTATACCTAAGACTGACCAACCAAGGCCATTCGCCGGCTCTCGCTTCCTCTCCGCCCACAATTCTCCCCGTATTATTTTCATAGTTCTCGTTATCTTCACTATCGGTGTCACCGGCCAGGTAAATTTTACCGCATCTCACCTTTTTCAAAGAAATTTTCTTATTGGCCAAAGCTTTATGTGTAGTTGAGGATTTCGTGGTTTCCGCTCGTTTTGTAGTATGCGAACGAGTAGGCGTGGCATGTCTGGATTTGGTGACGTGAGTCGTATGTCTAGGTTTGGTGATATGAGTGGAGCCGTGATGAGTATCAACCTTCTTAGTATGCGCAGAGGTTTTTGGCGGGTGATGACGAAGATTAGATGTGATGTAATAATCAAAGGTTGGCAACGGTTTTCTAAAGTAGGTTGTCGGTGTGGGATCATAATTCATGTACTCGTGATGCGGATTATTTAGTTCTACGTATTTACCCGCCGGGAGATAAATATCCATTTCGTCCATCTTTCTCCTCTGATAATGTCTGTTATCGCTGTGACTATCATGCCGAGCCGGCCTATATCGATTGGATCTCTTGTTCCTGGATCCTTTACCAGCTGTTTGTTCTAGAACTCTGTGTTTCCCTCGAGGACTTTCAGGTTTTATAACGGAGTGGGTGAGTCCCATAACTTTTACCTCGTCAATACCGGGATTATAAATGTTTTCCGATCCACCCGTCAAATGATCCTCCGTTATATCTTCCAACACTTCGATATTGGAGTCAACGTCATACGATGGGAAAATTACCTGATAGTCTTCAAAATCTAAATTCGAATCATCTGAGGTATGATGTGCCTCCACTTTTCTGCAACTGGCGCAAGAACTTTTATCATGTACGGTGAGTTTTTTTGAAGCTGTCCATTTTGTTCTTCTTGCCAATAACTTTTCCGTGATGCAAGTGAGTGTCGTGGCCACCCGATTTAGAATGGGAATCGTATCGAAACGTCTTGACCTTTGAATGAGTAGTTATGTTTCTCAATTTACTATGAGCTACCGGGGATGCCATCATCCTACCCTTTTTTCCTTTCGAAGTTTCTGAATGGGTCATTTCACCTGAGGCTATTTCTTTTTGGCTCGGAACAAACGCCTCCTCTCCCGCTTGATTTTGGCTGTACGTTTTTTTTTCTTCGATTCTATGCTCGTAGTTATAACTCTGACCGTCACCCGCCTTAAGTACATGCTCATCTTTGGAACCGAAATTCGAAGAAATCATTTTGCGAACGATTTCTTTTTTAACTATGATTTCACCTCTGGGCCCAGTTCCTTCGTATATCCTTTTTTCTACTTCCGTGCCATCCTTTTCCAAGTATTTTGCTACTTTCGTAAGTTTTAAACCCTTAATAACATATTCATCTTTATTGTCGTTTACGATTACCTTATTATCCTTAGTCATCTTCTTTGAGTCGAGTATTAGAGGCACTTTCGGCGAGGAACGAAGTCTTCGTACCTTTCCCTGTGCCACTTTCTTCCATGATTTCTACTTTCTCGTCACCCATGTCGTGTTTATTTTTTATAAATTTTTCATCGAAAGATTTGCTAAATTTTTTATTATCGATTTTTACGAATGACGATCCCGAATTATCTTCTAGCTCTTCGTCCCGACCAACTATTGATGTTTCTTCTTCGCCAGATTTCCCCCCATCTTGAGCATCGTTATTATCTTGGCCACTTTCCGTTAATTCTTCTAATTTTTCAATGTTTTCGTCTATGGAGGCATCCTCTTCTTCCCCCGTGTATACGGTTTTGATTATAGAGGAATCGTCGAAATCATCGTTAGCAGGGAGAGCCGTTGTCGCTTCATCAGATAGTTTGGTTGTTATGCTAGGATCAGGTTCCCCGGAAATTTGAGCAAGTGTGAATTGTTTTACGGTATCGGCATCTGACGCAACGTTCGTTTTGAGAGCCTTGAAAATTTGGTCTTCGCGTTCATCTACCACTTTTGTTTCAGTTTTACTTTCTATGGAAGCATCCTCTTCTTCCCCCGTGTATACGGTTTTGATTATAGAGGAATCGTCGAAATCATTGTTAGCAGGCAAAGCCGTTGACGCGTCATCAGATAGTTTGGTTGTTATGCTAGGATCAGGTTCCCCGGAAATTTGAGCAAGTGTGAATTGTTTTACGGTATCGGCATCTGATGCAACGTTTGTTTTGAGAGCCTTGAAAATTTGGTCTTGGCGTTCATCTACCACTTTTGTTTCAGTTTTACTTTCTATGGAAGCGTCCTCTTCTAGCCCTGTGTATACCGTTTTGATTATGGAGGAGTCGTCTAAATCATCGTTGGTAGGCACAGACGGTGTCATAACATCAAATAGTTTGGTTGTTATGCTAGGATCAGGCTCCCCAGAAATTTGAGCAAGTGTGAATTGTTTTGCCATGTCCGTATCTGACGCAACGTTCGTTTTGAGAGCCTTGAAAATTTGGTCTCCGCGTTCATCCACTACTTTTGTTTCAGTTCTAATTTCTATGGATTCCGAGTGGATCGAGCTGCCAGAAAAGTTGGAATAAACCCCGCCTTCAATATTTGTTTCGAATTCCGTATTTTTATTCATGTCCAAATATTCCTCCTTGGATATACCTTTAACGTGCGCGAATGTGTCCGTAATTTTTGTCACTTCTTTGAAATGGATCGGGGTGATAATTGTTGGCAAAATGGTGGTTCTTCTTCTGGATTTTCCTTTGACCCTTATTCTTTTGATAACCTTTTTAGTCTTTGCCTTGGTAACCGTAACTTTTTTAGTCGCTTTAGATTTTGTCAAGTTGATTGTTGGTTTCGCCGTTGCTAACTGGTAGGAAAGTGTTGTTTCGAGTACGGGTCTAAGGGTCCCCGCTGAAAAATACTCGGAGATTTTTATTCGCGGTTTAATCTTACCAGTTTTTGTATGAACGTCTATGATAGAATTGGTCGTCCATACTAGCGGGTGGGATGTCTGGGGTAAGGGCCTGGGGGTTTCTGCCGAGAAATATTCAGAGATTTTTATCTGCGATTTAATCTTCGTTTGCGAATCATCCTTTCTACCCTTAACATCTCCGGCTGCAAGTTATAAATGAAAAAAAAATACGTTACGTTAAATTTATTTTTACACGGCCCGGCCCGACCTGAATTATTTATCAAAAGTTTTTTCCGGTCCGTCCGGCCCGGGTTTTTTAAAAAAATATATTATATTTATTTTTGATTTTTTATAGTTGTTAATAGCGATTTCCAATATTTGGTTTTAAAATTATACGGCCCAAGGCCCGGGTGCCCGGATACCCGGGTCAGACCGAGTTTAGAACCGGGCCTGCAGGTGTCCGACAAATTTAAACTAAATTAGAGGACTTACTCGTGTCGCAGTCATTAAATATAGTAAAATATAAGATGGCCAACAGAATGAATATCTTTTTCATGATGCCTAACATTTACAAAAAAATATGAATTTTAGCGCGAGGAGTTTTAAAAAAAAAATAGAAAAATTGAACAATGAAAATTTATTTTGGCCTAGTATAACAAATTACTTTTTCTTAATAGCATATTCTTATTTTTATTTTAATTATTTTCTCTATTTTTTAATTTTTTTTTTCCAAAGCTCAAAGAAAAGAAGATTTTTTTTTTTTAAATAAAGGATTCAACAAGATTAGATGCATTTATTAATTTTTTTTAAATATTTTTGAAGGAAAAATGTTTATTGTTTTTTTTTTCTTAAGTTTTTGACAATGGTTAATTTTCATTTTGTTTTGTCATCCAATTATCGAATCCATTAATCATGGAAGCTTTTTATCTCTATCTTTTTATCTCTTAAAACTAATTTATGTCAGAATTTATTTAATTATTCATAATTTTTTAAATTCTTAAAAATTACGATACGATATGATAATGATAATTAATTATTTTAAATATTAATTATATTATTTTATTTATTTTTATAAAATATTTTTCTAAAAAATGTTTTATTTTTTATATTTGTTTATTTGTTATACCATTTTGCAAATGGGGGAAAAGGGGGGGGAAGGGGGGGGAAATACACAAAATAGCGTTTCCGTTTAAATAAATTAAACTAAAACCCTAATCATCCGCTTAAACCCCAGCTGGTTTCCCCTTTTGTGTGCGTAATATTTTGAAAGTAGTTTTAATTTTTTTTTTCCCTTTTCTTTATAGCAAAAATGAAGAAAATTTGATTCTATGTAGGGTAGTATAGTATTATATAAATGTCAAGATTTGACGAACAGGTGTCTAATTTTGATGAGCAAAATCTTTAAGCTTGCAAATGGTTAAAATCCTAAGCCCGCTTTTTTGATACAGCATGTATTCTTAATACTAAGATTTCCATTTATTTATGAATCTCATTTCTATTTATATTTTTTTCTATTTTTTTTTTATAGCAACTTGAAAATTGTTGAAACACATGGGGATGCTAGGTTTTATATATAAAATTGAATTTAAAATTTTTTTAAAAAAAAAATTAAACTAGGGGTTTGGTGAAGTTGAATTACGCGGTTTATGGGTTTAGCGCCTACAGTTTAACCCGAGTATTAAAGTTTTTAACTACTATGTAGGAATCAGAGATTTGTAAAGCCAAGCCCACTCCGACTTTATTTAAAAACTTATAGAGGGCCCTGGCAATTCGTACCGGTCGGACAGGACATTTTACCCATAAAAAATAGGGCAACGCCTAGCAAATACCTAATATTTTGTAAAAATTTTAATACATAATATTTTGATCTTTAATATTTTAAGGAACTGCCCAATCAAAATATTGTATCTATAAATAATAGATTTAAATTGGTATAAAAAATTAAACAAGTTATTTTTGATATGACCAATGACATATAATAATGGCTAGACTTCACGACAATCAAAAACAGCTGGGGACGCCATTTTGATTACCCACCCATATCATTTATTAATATTTTAAACGAGAGGCCAAATTTATTCCCATGTCCTGTCGCAAACTTTATCGAAGAATAGCCCGAACATCGAGATAATATGGAAGCGAGTTATCAATTTAATAATAGATTTTTATGAGTATACACTATATGGGTCACTAAAATGGCGGATCCAGCTGATTTGCATTCAACGACGCTTTTAAATGCATGAATGCATCGTCAGTCTAGGGTATTATTATGTGTCATTGGATATGAACCAATTACAAATATACAATACAGACATCAAGCGCAAATTTTATATAAAAAGGTTGTTATAGAAGTAGGTAGCCATAGGGTAGAGATGTAAGAACCTAAATTGGCGGGAAAAAAATAGGTATAGATAATATGTTGGCCGGGAAAAAAAATTTAAACGAGTAGGAGGGGGCGAGGCCAACATTTCGTAAAATTTTAACTGGAGGGCTTTGCAGACCTCTAATAGGAATAGGAACAATAACAAATTTATTTATTTATATGGTAATACGTATGCTATATTGTATATACACACTAGGAAAATTAAAGATTGAACGTTTAACGATCAAATTAAGTTTTTTTTTAATTTAACAGCTGAGATCAACGTTTTTTTTAAAAATTATAATGCTGCATGTCTATCCGAAATATAGCTTCTCATATAAATCAGCTGTTTGAACAAAATGGAATTAACTTCCTTTGCAATAAATTAAATGGCCTTAGGTTTCCCTAAAAAAAAATGAGGCTTGGCTCAAACTACATGATAACAACCCAATAGATTGTTTAGCAGATTGTTTTACAGGGGAAATCAGGTTCATTTAGTTTGAGTCAGTAATACTATTACTAGTAGAGATCTGCAAAGTTAGGCCCGACCCGTGCCAGGCCCGAACGGGTTTCGGGCCGGGTTCGGGACTACCTTTTTGAAAAAAATTCGGGTTCGGCTTGGTCGGACCGAATATTTTTAAAAAAAAATTCGGGCCGGACCTTGAAAAAAATTTTTTAAAATATAATTAATAAATTGGGTCCAATTCTTTTTTTGTGCAATAAAAATATTTCATTTTATTTGCAGAAACTAGACGGAAATTCTCTTTTAAGACGTCACGAGTGCGTTAAGAATGACGATTCCTCTATTCCCTAAAATAACTAGATACATTCAAAAGAAAGCCATATATATAAATTCTAAGAAAATATGTGATACCATGATCTATTAATGCGCCAAGGACATGCGTGCCTTTGATTCGATAATTGGAGATGACTTTATAAAAATGGCTCAAGATTTTATTCAAATTGGCTCCATTTACGGTAATATTGACTGTAGCGAAATTATTCCCCATCCAACTACTTTATCGAGAAATGCTGATAGTTATGACGGATCGAATTAGAACAAATTTGGTTAATAAAATACATGTTCAATTATTTGATAAAAAAGTGCTCTGCCACCACTGATATGTGGACAGATTGCTTTAAAAAGTTTTCCTATTTAACTTGTTTCAATTCATTATATCGAAAGTGAAACCTTATATAAACATGTTTTATTTACGAGTAAGTTTAAAGAAGAGAAAAAAAACCGTCGCGAACATACATAAGGAAATGCTACAAAATTTTGCTGCAATTGGGATAATTCCCGGTCAAGTGAAAAATATAATATTTATAACTGATCAAGGAGCTAATATAATTAAAGCCCTAGAAAAATACACCAGATTAAATCGCAGCGCACATCTGTTAAATACAGTTCTTCGAAATACCTTTAAAAGGAACAATCTTTGAAAATTATCGCTCCTAATATATATATCAAACCCTTATTTCTGCTAAAAAAATTAACCGCGTATTTTAAACAAAGCGGCATGAATCAATATTTAGACAAAACATTACAACAAGATATCGAAACAAGATGGAATTCAAAATTATATATGTTGAAATCTATTTTATAACCAATATGATGACATTGTCAATTTTTTATCATCCAAAGGAGATATTAATAAAATGGAAAACTTGGAGAAATCTATTTTAAAAAATTTGATTGATATTTTACATCCTTTTGATAAAGCTACTAAAGAACTAAAAGGAGATATTAATCCTACTATATATAAAGTACTGCTATGCTTTAATAATACTCTTCACGAGGATTTAAATGATACTTTTCAAAACAATGAAATAAAACAAATAAAAACCAATTTTAAAATTTTTTTATTATCTAAATTTAAAATCAATATTTTGCATAAAATAGCGACATTTTTATGCCCCAAATATAGAAAATTAAGAACGTTATCATCAATGGAAATATTAGAAGTAGAAAATTCAGTCAAAAATATAATTAATTCTGAAGAATATTGTAAACCTTCAATTGATATTATAGATTTGTAGATACAAGGCGTTTCTCAAATTATGGAATCTCCTAAAAGATCTAAAGGTACACTTAAAATTGTTCTATTTATCTTATTTTTATATATCAGACAATGACTATGAAAGATGGGAGGACAATGAGGAAGAATTTGAAAAAAAAAGAAACAGATGAGCTTGAAATTTATAAGAATTTGAATATAAAAGAGAATATAGAAAATATAGATCCAGAGAAAGATATATTAAAATGGTGGAGCAAAAATGAAATTAGATTACCTAAGATGACAAAATTGGCTAGAAAAATTCTAGCTATTCCTGCAACTTCCACAACGTCAGAGAGAACTTTTACAAAGACTGGAAGGCTATTAGAAGAAAGAAGGAATAGACTGAAACCTGAAAATGTTGATGCTTTGATATTTTTTAAATCATAATTATAAATATGAATCTTAATATATAGTTGTGTAATTTAACGTTATAATTATTATTTGTTGTTTGGTTTATAGGTAATTTTGATAGTATTTTAAAATAAATGATTAAATACTAAATAAATTGTCTGTCTAGTGCCTACTAAGAAAATACAAAATGTTAAATATAAAAAATAAACTAAGAGCTAAAAAAAAATTAATTTCTATCGGGCGGACAAATAATTTTTACTTTGGGATGAATAAAAAAAAATTCGGGTTCGGGTCGGGCCGGGCCGGGCCGGCAAAATTTCCTTAAAAAAATTCGGGTTCGGGTTCGGGCCGGGTCGGGCTTAAAAAATTAGGCCCGATACAGATCACTTACTAGCATTTGAGAAAATAAAAATAGTCAAAATTTAACTATTAAAAGTTACTGTGTCGACAATAATTGCTCTATGTCTTATGATGTGTAACAGCAGGGATCCAACCCGAACCGTTAAACCGGTATTAACCGGCATTTCTAATCGAATCTGAACCTAACCTAAAGTGCTACAAATTTTCTCAGCCGGTATTAACCGGCATTTTTAATCGAATCTGAACCTAAAAAGTGCTACAAATTTTCTCACCGAATCTGAGCCGAACTGCTAGAATGCTTATGAACCTATTCTAACCTCATGATTTTGTGCTTATAAAATAGTATGAAAGTTTTTTCTAGTATATTGCTAAAATTTTAACCTATATTCGAATTGTTTTAAAGTTTATTATAAATCAATTTTGATTGATAAGTGTCAGTCACAATTTTTCTAAGATTAGTATATTATAGTTTTAAAATATTTTTAAGCTTATAATGCCTAAAGATAAATTGAATCCAATC